AGCATTTTGTGCACTTTCTTTGTTGTCTCCATTTGAATAAGTCCCCGGTCCACATACGACACAAGTGGAAGAATCCAATTCTTGTGAGTATTGTCCATCTGGGCAAATAATACAGATAATAGCACCATTTTTCGAATAATAACCTTTTTGGCAAGCGTATTTATTCGTTTTATCTGGACAATAATATCCAGCGTTACAAATTGCACAACCAATATTGGTATTGTAATACCCCGGATTACAACCCATGCATGTGTATATGATGTTCACATAAAGTAAAAAATGAAGATAGACATATATTCAAAATTAAGATGTACATTTTGGTTTCAATTTTTGTCGATTTTCAAAAGTTAAGATTTCATTTTAGGATCAACCATTTTTATTATTTTTATTTCAAATAAACTGTAATTGACTTATTTTAAAAATTGATTTTATTGTATTTAAAACAGGGTGGCAAACGGGATTCTATCAGCGCGTTCAATATGGAAAAACCAAGTTTTTTCCGCGCATGAGGAATAAATATCTATTATTAATTTATAGTTGTTTTGTTATAATTATAGTTACATCGACGCTCAAAGAGAAGCTTTCTTGACACGTTGAATATACTTTAAACTATTTATCAATCCAAAATAATGGTAAATGTTCGAAAGAAAATAAAGCTGAGTTTTTTGAAGAATGGTTTTGTGAATAATTTTAAATAAATTTATTATTGTATAAAAATAAATCATTAGTTCATTTAACCATAAATTTAATTATTGGTAAAGTCGACTGTATTTTGTCAATCAAAACAAAAATAGTCAATAAAATCATTATAACAATAAAAAACATAAAAGGAACATTTTAAAAAACAATGCAAAAACCAAACAAAAAAAACAAACTCAAAATTCAATGTTAAAGTCACAAAAAGAATTTTGTTACACTGATACAGAAAAAAATTAAGAATTTGACGAAGTGTACACGATAAAAATTTTCTTCTTTTTAGATGGTAAGAATTGTTCGTGCAAACTCTGTGGATATTCACATGAAGTAGATGCAAAAGTAAAATGGGACTGTACCAGACACTTCTGGAGTCATGGTCGTCCACAGGCTTCTGAAATTGTCATGAACAAAATAAACGAACTCTATAAAAAGGTGTACCAAACAAACAAAAACAATGGAAGTACAACCGAAATAATAAAACGTTCATTCAAACGTGCTTCTGATTTAAGCAAAAAATTTTTTCCTCTCGCTGTCGGAAAAGTAATCGCAAAACAACTCAAAGATAAAGACCAACACGATTCAACTCCTAAACTTGTTTCATAAAAGCGTCATTTTTTTTCAGTTACGATTTTGTGAAAAATATGATAATAATTAAAAATAATTTAAAGTACTTTGGTCATTAGTCTTGCAATATTTTTGTATTTTTTTCTTGTACATAATTTCAACCATTCACTATAACTTTCAACTTACTTGTTAATATTTTTGATGTATTTTTTACAAACAACATGACACACTATAAAATGTTTTCATTACTTGTATTATCTATTTATTATTTATATTTCAAATATTACTGCAAATGCTCACTTAGATTTAAATCACAACTCGGAGCTGGCCGATTTTTAATGATAAAACGTTTTTATAATTGAAAAAACTAAAGTGTACAGTAAAAACTTTAGAGAGTGGGCGAGTGTGATAATTATGTTTTTTTAAAAGTGGGCATTTTTAGCCAATCAAACCTTAATTACTGCTCTATAAAAAACTTTATTTTTAGTTTCATTGAAAAATACCATCTTTTGAGAGAATCCTCTTTTCAAAAGTCCGTTTTTTGAAAAGTTTTACTGTATTTTGATTTGTGCACATTGGCGTTGTATTGCATATTTTTTTCTTCAACTTATGATTTCGTTTTAATTATTTCATTTTTATTACTGTATTGCTTTTATAACGTTTTGATTATTATGGAGGTTTAATACTAAATTGATTAAAATGGAAGTATATTGTATTGTTTTATAATTCCTATATTGATACATATCTTTATATT